GTCTTTTACAGCAAGGTTCAGCTTCAGCCATTGTATGATATGGATTTCTATAGTCGAAACAGTGCCTAACCTGACACACGTGAATACACATGTGCATTCACTTGTGTCACGTGAATGCACGTGTGTACCGTATAGCTTCAAATTTTCGTCAATCAAAATTATTTTTGTCCAAACAAAAAAATTATAGAGGCGTGGTGTACCACACCTAGTAGTAGCATAGATATTAGAGTAAATATCTATGGTAGTAGTAGTGGTAGTACTAGCAAGATATTCTTTCACAGTAGTATGATGAGGTAGGAACTGCTCCCGTGTCTTTGAATTATTATTTAATTCCAGACCTCTTCCCTCAGGGGAGCCTCCGGCTATCGCTTGATGACTTTGAATAAACCAAAAACACAATGCTTTGAATGGCAATATGATTGACCTACTAACAACTGATATGAAGCATACAATCTGCACAGTTATGCTTTTTAAATTTGTTTCTTTCACTTTTACAAACTACAACACAGTCATAATGATAATTATAAAAATGATAATTGTAATTATATATTAATAGTCTAATTTGACACCTTTAGTTATGTCTTATACTTTTTCAAAATATTTAGTACTAATAAATCCATTCTCATCTCCTGAGCATAATATCACATTGTTTGCTGAGCGATAGAACAATAAACCACCTGAAACAAAACAACATTCGCTCATCAAAAGGACATCATAATTAGGGTTCCCCACAGGATTTTAGCATAGTGCTCAAGGTGAAGAAGCAGCTAAAGAAAACTTTGATAGAAACACATTGGGTGAATTGAAGAATGCTCTTTATTTCTCAACTGTTAAGGCCCTTACTCAACCAAATGTGCATCATTCCAAACTATAGACATGATCAACTGATCATTTTTGATACAAAAACCAGTGCATTTTAAGAGTATTTTTGTTTTTACAGTATTTATAGCATTTATTATGCGTGGGTGGCTGACTCAAGCGAAGGTGTGGTCACGTGAGAGGTGTGGCTGGTTTGAAAGGAGGCCAAGATGTCCTCCCAATCCTATCACGTCCCAGTAATTCTCCCAGACATGAGGAAAGAGGAGTCCATCAGGCAGGTGGTGGACGCCCTGGAGTACCTAGATGCTGTTGCTAATGATATATTCAGTCGGATCAGCTTTCGTGTAGGAGAGAACAGAGACCAACTGATAGCCATTAACGAGAGGATCAACGTGGCACAGGCAAAGATAGACCGGATAAGGAGCAGCAGTACCAAAGCAACTCAAGTGAGGCAACCAGGAAAATGTTATGTGTAATTTGCGACACTATTGCTACCAATTATAAATAGTTCCGTCTCATATTTTAATTGTTTTTATTTTAGGTTTTTTGTTCACCAAAGTTTCCCGGTGCCACAAAACTCACGGACTATCACACCGTGTTCCAAGACATTGACCCGCGTCTTCAACATGTCCGAAAGAACCGTAACCCAATTACCCTAAGACTCCAAGAAGTCACTAAGGACACTATAGTTGATAAGGCCAAACGCCACCGTGGGCCATCACTCCATAAAAGCACAAAGAAAAAAGCAAGAGAAGGTACGAGAGAGAGAGAGTAATAGTGTCATTAATGTACTTTTTGCTTCAATAGAAAGTAATAATTGTTTATTACTGGGCCACCTACGTTTAAACGGTGTTTTATGGTATAGGTATATCAATCGAAGACTCTGATGTCCTTGGGGAAGGTCTTGGCTCTCTCCCTCGTCACCTTCCCTCCGTCTCCTCTCTCCTTCTCTTTAACTCATCGGAGAACCCTTATCGCAAATACGTCCTCCTGGATCCACTGGAAGGAGTCAAAGTGAAGACTAGAAAGAAAGAGGAAGACACGGATGAGATACACGAGGCTCCCTCTAGTATACTCCATGGGGAGCAGCTGGAGAGAGCACCACAAGACAGCACCATATACCAGCCTGTCATGCCTGATCTCCCTGAGCTTGAAGTGCCCATGTCACTCCCTTTCCTCTCTCATATAGCTGATGATATTACGTATGATGATGATCGAGGTCCTTCTATAGCTCCTTCTATGGCCAATGTTCCTGATCTGCCTGATCTTGCTGGACCCTCCATCACTGATACACCTGTTAGCACTGATCCTTCCGGTGCTCCTCCTCCTCCCCCTCCTCCTCCTAGCGGAGACAGTCAGTTTTGTACTTATCATTATTATTATTTATTATTTTCCTTTAGCTGGTGGAGGTGCTCCTCCTCCTCCTCCCCCTCCCCCTCCTCCCGAGCCTATTGCTACCATGCCAACACTTCCTTCAATTAATTCAGGTAATCAGGATACCTTAGTATATTGTAGTATATTTCATGGCTTCTTGTTACAGATGATGATGATGATGATGAAGGTACTCCTCCTCCTGGTGACGCTGGCGGTACAGGTGATGGTAGGGCTGATCTAATGGCCGCCATACGTAAAGCAGGAGGAGCAGGTAAAGCTGGCCTTAAAAGCTCCAAGGATAGGAAGACTGCTCGTAAAGCAAAAAAAGAAGAGGAGATTGCACAATCGTCACCAGGCGACCTCTTGGGTGACCTTTCGGCAGCTCTCGGTAGACGAAGGAAAGCAATGAGTGGGCGGGACAAGAGAGACGACCCTCCGCCCAGCACTGGGGGAGGGAGCATGATGGATAAGGTAGCAGCCATGATACCGCCACCACCTCAACCAGGAGGAGGCGATGATAGTGATGGTGACCAGGAGGGCGAAGATTGGTAACTGTTGTCAACTAGTAGGATTCATTATTGTTGTTGTATTAATTATTGTGTGTACTCTTGTTATTATTATTGCTATTTTATTATTATGCTGTTGATTTCGTGTTTTATTATTATTATTATTATTATTATTATTAATGATAGTATTATTATCTGTATAAAAACTTTATTATTAAATTTTGTGACAGAAAAATAATAATAATATTATAAGAACTGTTGTGTGTTTACTAAAAAATATAATTACATTGAAGTGAGTTTTTAAAAACAGGTTGAGGGTCGGGGGGGGGGGGTTATTGTCCTACCATTAATATCACGGCATTATTAGGAGGAGAGCATGGCAACAAACTGATCGATGCTACGTACAGGGATACGACTGACGTGAGATTTAACTCGTAAGTTACGATCATCGGTTAACAGTACAACCGAATGAAGAGGAGAGAGGGAGGGAGAAGAAGTAGGAGCGTCAAGACGATTGTGAAGAGCAACACAGGAGGAAAGAATAATATCATCATTACAAGACTAGAGGAAATAAAAAAGAAAGAGATCAAGCTGGTTCCCTCCTCTATGGTTTGTCTCACCTGATCTTGTATGGACTCAGAGGTGGTCAGTAATGAGGAAAGGATGCTACCTTGAGAAGTGAGAGCTTTTAGACGAGTGCTGCCGACCGAGAGCTGCTCCTTAACATAAGTCACAGCATCCCTGAGACAAAGGGAGAGCCAATTAAGTACTGTGTGTGTGTGAGTGTTGTGTAGTATGATGTGTACTCTTACAATGATGGCTTTGAACGCTTTGGATCACTGTCTTTACTTAATCCTTCCAATTCGCCGATAACTAACAACAAAAATAACAATAAAAACATCAATAAAAACAACAACAACAACAACAACAAGAACAGTACAGTAACAACAGTTACAGAAATACAATAACAACAATAAAAAGAATTAACAGTACAAGTCCTGACTCACCAGTGAGTGGTATTGCTATTACAAAGTGGCCAGACTCCAGTATAGCCATCAGTTGCTGGAATGAGTCCACGAAGCAGTTAGTATCAGGTATGAGGTACTTTGGTTTAACAGTGACCTCATCAGAATGAGTGCTCTTAGCTTTGTCTATCAGAGACTGAGAGAAGAGAGTGAGACTAAGTTTGGATTGGACAATGGGCTAACTTTAGCAGCTGATTTCTGTTCCTCGTGTACTTGTAGTTGCTGAGCAAGACGATCCTTTTCTTTCTGATAAAGAGAGAGAAAAGGAATAAATACAGTACATCCTCAATACATATAATTAACCTTTAATTTCTCAATTTCTGTTATTTGACCAGTAGGAGCTTCATCAATGGTATCTTCTTTATTATTAATTTCATCCTTCACCACTTCCTCCTCCTCCTCCTCCTCCTCTTCTTCTATTAAAGATGGCTTCCTATCGTTATTCTCTTCAGGTATAGTACATGAAGTAAGTGACCCAAAGAGGACAGAGAGTTCATTAGACGAGGAATCATAAAATAAGAAATGCTGTAGAGAGGATCTACTGGTAACCTCATATTGTAGTAAGGAGAGGCGAGAGAGAGACTGGAACAGTATTTGCTGAAGAAAAAAAGGAGAAAGGATATAAAATAATAATAATAATAATAATAATAATAATAATAATAATAATAATAATAATAATAATATGTGGTTGAGCCGCTCCCCTATTCTTCCACCCGACGTGGATGGGCAGGTCTGACTCTTTCTTCTTTCCTTATTATTAGTCTTTTCTTAATACATGTATAGTTTCTTTGGTTTATTTTTATTTTATTTTTTCCTCATAGGGCCTTCCCTCTCCTTTCCCTTTTTTGTTTTTCTCTATTATTAGCTCTAATTAGTTTTTGTTTTTGGGTTCAATAATAATAATAATAATAGTAATAATTTTAAACCATTACTTCTTGAATGAGTTGGTTTAGATCAGGGGTAATGAGGGTGTCCTCATAAGACAAGTTAGCCAAACTGGTCAAACAGGAAAACCCAGCGAGCATCTTATCCTCCCAGTACTTGGAACAACTCAATCTACACGAACCTGTCAAGAGAATAATAGGTCATGTGATCAGTAGGGGGCGTGGCTTACTTGGAGGAGGAATACGCAGGGGTAAGAATGACTGGGTCTTATTGATCAGGGACGACAACTGACCAAAAAATGTGTGAAAACTAAAAAATAAAATAAAAATACAAAAATAATATAAAAATTAAAAATATAATAAAATAAATTAAAATAAAAAATAAAACAAAAAATAATATAAAAAATAATAAATTATAAAAATAATATAAAACTAAAATAAAATAACAAATAAAATAAAAATATAAATTATATATTTATAATTATAATGAATTTTTATTATATTATAAATTAATTTATAATTTTATAAAATATAAAATATATAATTCATGTATATACATGTACATATAGTGTGCACCACATAATTAATTCCTTACTATTTCAAGAGGTCGTTTCTCCCGAGGAGTGGCTCCCATATTTTGACGTGGGTCGATACCCAGTTAAACCACACCCTCAGCGAGGGGACAGTCACTGCAAGATTAACAAGGAGCCGACTCAGACCAGGGTCATCAAGGACCCCGCCCACCATCGCCGTGGAAACGGGCTCTTTGTAAGACGCTAGTAGAGAGTGACTTGAGTTCAACAAAGAAATAATGAACTGAAGAGAAAGACAGAGACTAAGAGACAGGGTGACAGTTTGAGAATGAAGATCATCTGGAGAGAGAGAGAGGGGGGGGGGGAAGGAGAGAAAAGAGAGAGGGAGAGAGAGAAAGTGTGTGTTAATGAATTAGTAAAGCAGAAAATGAAAGAGATAATAATTATCAAAATAAATTCCATTAAGCTGGTATCCTCAATAGAAAATAGTACACACACAGTGTGTGGGGAATTATTATATCAATAGCATGGTACTACATACACACATCAGAGCTAAATGAAGCAGTAATAACATGTACATGTACATGTACACAGGTTTCCCACAAAGCATGCTAAGTGAGCTAAACAGCATGAGCTTCATGAGCTGACAAGTACTATGATACAGTACATGGCATTTGGAGCAACTTTAAAAATTCATAAAAAAATCCAAATTTGATGGGAATCAGCTTAACGTTGATACAGAACATAAAAAACATGTATACATATCGGAAAAATTGTTAAAATTGAGAATTCTCTCTTTGTAATTTTTTGTCGAAATACCCTGTACCATTATACAGGACTCTCTTGCCCAAATTTTTTAAACGACTTGACAATCCACTGACAAGATGAGAACTATACCAAAATTCTGTGGGAAACTCTGCATGTACATGTGCACGTACATCTAAATGTACATGTACATGTACATGTACAATTGTACATGTACAAAAGGAAGGTTCCCTTACAGTACCCACAGAAGGCGAGGGAGGGGAAAGCAGAAGTAAAACGATACCTTTATTCTGGAGGATATGATGAATGGTTGAAATGTTAATGGTTGTCATTTTCAGTATCTTTGAAGCATCTCTACTGACAGAGGCCACCAACTGGTGCTCCTTCTCTTCCTCGTTATTATTTATTAAATAACTGTCCAACAAAGAAATCATGTTAGACAGTACAAGTGGGAACTCCTCAATCCTAAATAGACAAAATAATTATTTAAAAAAACAACAAATAAAGTTAAAATATTATTCTAAGCGTTTTTATATCAAGGCAAGCATCATAAGCTTGCTGCAAGTTTATATTATAGCAATGATGAGACAAAATGAAATTGAAAATGTTATGAGGATGTCCCTAAACAGTTAAAAGTAAATAAAAGACTGTTTAACTTTGATCGTATCTTTACCTCTCAACTTTGACACTATGTACTGCCCCTTCTCTATTAACTTCCTCCCTCCCCCCCCCCTCTCTCTCTCTCTCTCTCTCTCTCTCTCTCTCTCTCTCTCTCTCTCCCTCCTTCCCTCTCTCTCTCCTCCCAGTACATTATACTGACCCAATTTTAGTGAAAAGTTTACTGTGGGCGAACAAGAACTGATTGGTAAGTCTCCTTGACAGCTGCAATACACAACAACTTGTAAGCTAAAAAACCAATCACACGTACCTCAGGAAAGTCCAACTGAGACTCCTCCTCTTTCTCTCTCCCGTTTTCAGTTGAAGACACCAGCTTGTCATCTCTTCCAGGCATGATCCATACCTCCCTTGAGTGGCTTTCATCATTCTTAGTGGGTGTGAATTTGTTTGCAGCTTGCTGCTTTTTAAACTCATCCTGTAATTACATGGTAAAAGTGGGCGGGGTTAGTTTGACCCCCACCTTAGCAGAGGTAGATATTTTCTTTGCCGTCTCGTCCAAGAGGCCAATGAGGCTATCATGAGCCGAGAGAAAAGAGTTCTTAGTCCAGAGACTGCGGCAATAATAATAAACAGCATCTAATCTCCTGTGCTATATAATAGAGAGAGAGAGAGAGAGAGAGAGAGAGAGAGAGAGAGAGAGAGAGAGAGAGAGAGAGAGAGAGAGAGATGAAGAGATAAAGTCTTCAAATGATCTTTCATGATTGTAATCTAATCACAATTTTTATATTAAACAATGTGCAATTGAAAATAATCATTACAAATTCTAATCATGGTTTTTAAAATTTGGCTTCAACTACATGTACATACACTTTTGCTACATGTGTACATGTACATTATTGACGTCCTTATGCTGCATGTATGTACAAGCACTGTACATGTAGTCATGTACATGTACATGTATGGAAAAGGCTTTCAGATTAATAGCATTTAAGTTGTATAAACTAACTGAATTAATGGCAATCACTGCTAACTGATTGTATGGTTTTCCGTCTCTTGGAATGAGATCGCGAGACTTTAAATAATACCTAAAAATATAATAAAATTAAAATGCATTAATCTATTGCATACCCTTGTAGGCATACACTTATAATCAACTTTTAAAAATCATTAATTAGATTATAATAGATGATTTTGACAAAGACAGACATATCAGTGTGTGATGGGTAGACATGACAAGCGAGAATAGAATAATAATAATTAAATCACAAAATATCACCAAAAGCAATGCAAAAAACTATGCAACCATAGTAATGAATTATGTGAAACATTTGTAGTATTGCTCCTGTTAACAAATGTTAAGCAGCTGTTCAAGTAATGTCTTCACAAGTCCAGGAAGCAAATTAGAGAGAGAGGGAAGGGAGGGAGGGAGGGAGAGAGAGAGAGAGAGAGAGAGAGAGAAAGTTTTTAGTAGACTAACATTCTAGGTTTAGACCAATCTGGTGTCTCCTTCAATTCCTCAGTGTATCTATTCAAATCACCAATGGAAAGGTAGCAGTGATGAATGAGATTCACAGCCAACCTAACCTGTACACACAACCACAAACACATAATAATAATAATAATAATAATAATAATAATAATAATAATAATAATAATAATAATAACAGAGTAAACTATTATGCAATATTATTATTGTTTCTATAGCAAAATGCTGTCATGATTATAAATGCACTATGATTACTGGAACTAATGTGTGGGGACAAATTGTGTAGTGGAAACAGGCGGCATCGCATTTTACACAATCAAAATCAAATTAGTGGGAGTAAACAGTGAACTATTTACTCAAAATGTTTTCAATTTTAAATCAAATTTCCAAAGCCGGTCCCAGGGTTGAAAAAATACATAAATAAATCAAATTAGGAAAATTAATGCAATTACATCCAGTAAGACACTTCCGAGTACATGTACATGTGCTGTACATGTACATGTGCTGTACATGTACATATACATGTACATGCATAGCTCAATTACCCTATTCCTTTCAGTTTTTGAATCAAAAGTGAAGTTCCCGTCACTTATAAATTTCTGAAGATCGAATTGATACGTCTTTTGACAGACATTGATGAGATCAGAGTAGAATTGAGAAGAGTTGGTTAAGAATGACTCTAAATCAGCTACCATGCCTAGAGAGAGAGACAGACAGACAGAGACAGAGACAGAGACAGAGACAGAGAAAGAGAGAGAGGAGAAAAACAAGAAAGAACGAAGAAGAAAAAAGACATAAAATGGTGTTTGTTACATAAAACAATGAGTCACCCACTTGTCTTCACAACGCTGGTCTGTGACTGCTTGCAAAACTTTCTCAGCCTATCCAGTATCTTATAATGACAGGACTTCCAGACCCTAACGGCTACCTCCTCCTTAAACGAAGGATCCGATAAAAGCTCCTTTGTCTTTGACTCCATCGTACGACTGAAATAGGCGTGGTTAGAGTAGGCGGGGCCAAAGAACACTTACCATATTTGAAGTACTTGTTCGAGCTGATCGGAAGAGCCAGCCCACCTGGAGCAGAGTCTATCTAATCGTCTCTCATTACTCAACCAGTCGATCCATTTCTTGTTCCCTTTTGGGTCGGGCTGAGACCCCTTCTCCCAATTAATGCCCACCTCTCTAGCTTTGGGGCTGGAACGAGGGAATGGTCTCGATCTGGCGTCGTCAGAGGACGAGGAGTCATAAGGGACTGCTCTCGCATGTCTCTTTCTCTCTTGTAGCTGCTGGTAGGACATCGAGAGGACGGGAACGTCCTCGCTCGAAGAAGATGCCATAATTATTTTTGCACAGGCCAGGAGCCCGCCCACTTTGTTATTAATTAACTAATTAGCCTGCTTATTAATGAATAATTAATTAGCAATATCTCGCGCATGCGCATTAGAATTTCCCTCGCTGAGCTGCGTAAGCATTTTCCTTTTCGCGGAAAAGACCGCCCACTTTACAAAAATGTAATGCGCCGCACCGGTGCACCAATGGAATTCATTACATAGTAGCTTTTTCCTCTTTACTGATATCTTCCTTCCCCCTACCATTTCTCCTTGACTTTCTCAGTTTCTCTTTATCTTCTTGTCAGTATTTATGCGAAGAGTCTCTCCATCTCTCACTCTTCATCAGTTCTTCTCACTTCTGTGCTATCCATATACTATATAACTGTAAGTCACCATCGAAGAATGTTGAAGAAATCTTCATCAGGAAAGAGATCAGAGCTATTATAATATTTATATTTGAAATTCAAGAGTGGAATATCAAGCTTATTCACGAAATAAAATCTTATTCATTGTGCTGCTCTACTGCTAGGCACACACACACGCACTCACTCACTCAGCACTTTTTTGATACATAAACGTTGATGGAAGGAGATTCAGTCCTCTGATGATGGCAGCAGCAACTACTAGTCTATATTTGCCACAGCATTGGACACCGCAGCCAACAGATCATAGGAATTTAGAGTCTCCGGTCCTCAGCAACACACCCGGTCTTTCTTCTCCCCTTCGCTCACTCTCTCTTTCCCAACCCAACGGTCTTCTCAACTCTCCTCAGCTGCCTAATCCTTTCTCTCTCCACCAGCCTCCTCCTTCGCCTTCTCCTTCACCGTCCCCACTAAAGCAGACCACCACTGTCCCTCTGCCAGTAAAGAGGACGAGAAGAAAAAGATGTGGACAGTGTCCTGGCTGTCTCAAAACAGACAACTGTGGCCGATGCGTCGTTTGTACAAACCCAAACACCACCAATTCAGTTTGCAAGGAAAGAAGATGTGACCTTCTCACACAAAGACCGGTAAGCAAAAAATTACAAGCCCTTCAGGGCTACAAGCACTTAGGAAGCACTTGTGTTTTACATGCAATTCTTTCTCTCCATTGTTGTAAACTTGTATATATCAAAACAATTCTTATGTCAAGTGTAGTTTTCCCTGTCAGCTCTTGCCTGGCACTTATAATAAATTATTACTCCTTAGCCTCTTTTTACAAGATTTTTTTTTGGATTTTTTGATGATTGTCAAAATAGGGTATTCCCCTTCAAAAACCCCCCACTCTGTATACATACATGCATATCTCTCTCTCCTCCTCTCTCTCACTCATTCTCACTAATATGTTATGTTAATAAGGTATGAGTAGCTTCCCACAATCCCCCACGATCATAGTCTGTGTGTGCATGTTTGAACGACGTTGTCATAGTTACACAGAATTAGGAAGCCACAATCCCAAAATTGGATGAAAAAGTGTTTATGACGTACACACGTGCATGTGTGTCCACGTGTACTCGAATGCCCATCTCTTGTGTGCGTGTGTACGCTATTTACATCTGAATCAAAGAGTGATTGTGTGTGTGTGTGGTGACTATGTACATGTATGTACATGTATGTGTGTGTGTGTGACATGATTGTAGAGATTCTAAGGAAACTGGATAAATTATCGACTCATTATTTTGCCTTCAATTTGATTATGGGCTTATTCCCAATTTGTAATCATTCGTTGGCAATGAAAGGTTGTTTTCGAAGTAGGAGCAACTCAATGGAGGAGAGAGGGCTTTTGGGAAGAATGGAAAGGAGAGAGGGAGAGAGTATTCGTCAAGAGAGTGAGAGAAGCGTAAGCTGTAGCACAACTTGCAGCTGATGTAGAGCTATTCAAGTCTGTCCCATTCATGCTCCTTGACAGACTATTTAAAGTGTTGATATGTACAGCTGAATGATATAGACACCATTGATGGATTTTCTGTAATTCTCACATTTGTCTCATTTTGCAGTTATTCACACTTTCGAGTGTACACAAACACACGCACGCCTCATACAATTCATTTTAATCACATCTTTCTTTCTCTCACTTTCTCTGTCTCTCTTAAATTTTTTTAGAGGAGCAGCAGTGTGACTATAAGTGGACTTACCCCAACCACTGAGTACAGTACTTCTACACCAACTCCAGTTGTTGGGACTGAAAAGCCTTTTCCTCCTCTTTCTTCTCAACCTGTTGTCATGAGCAACAGCAGCAGAGTCTTCAGAGAGGAGCTACATGTATTCAATGACAGAGTAAGTATATCAAAGACTAATTCTATTGCCAGATAATGATAAACAAATTTGGCAGCTGAATATCTGGATTTCTTTAAAAGCCTAGCCTATATTTTAAGCCGATGATGATGGATCTATCCTCCGTTGCCGTTGCCATCATCGAGATGTGTTAGTTTGTCACCTGCCTGTTTATCCATGTTAAACATATAGCAGCTGCCATTTAATAGCATAATGGGTCTCTGTTTGTACATGGTTAAATGTTCCTGTATCATCTTGCAGGATGACAATGTTTCTTGTGGCTTTTATATGAATTTGAGCCTTTGATAATGTTATCAAGCTTATTGCGTGTGTCAGGCTTTTACAGCAAATAAGGAGATAGAGGAGAGGAAGAGAGAGAGAGAGAGAGGTCATCAGAGAGAGTGGAGAGAAAGACTAGAAAATGAGAGTAAAAGAGAGAGAAATTGAAGTGAGAAAAATTTAAAATGCTAAATTGACTTCATTGGTAAGGATTTTGTTGACACCACTAATTAAAATAGTGCAAATACATGCCACCACTGTCTGACATTACAATATTAGTATACATGTATGTGTGTGTGTGTGTGTGTGTGTGTGTGTGTGTGTGTGTGTATGTGCTGATGTGGTTGGTGTAGCATGTATATGTACACACACTCTGTATAAATATGTATTATGTGTATTTGGAGATGTTTACTAGTACATAATATTAACATAAACTTTATAAACAATCACAATCCCTTGTTTACCTTGCTATGTTCACAACAAACATCTTGTGACCTTTCTCTTCTTTCCTCTCACTCCCTCTTCCTCTACTTGTCTCTCTCCCTCATTCTTCAGTTCTGTCCTCCTACCAAAAAGAAGAAGAGAACTGGAGCAAGTAAGAAGAGCAGAGAGCCACCTCCTTGTGGCTGCCCTGGTAAGTGATCCTCTCTTTCCTTCTACTGTAAGGCCTAACTTGAAAGACATTGTTGACAAACTGAGTCAGAAGGAAATGATAACAGTCTAATAGGACAACACTAATCTTATTCTTTCCTTTCCATCTCTCTCTCTCTCTCTCTCTCTCTCTCTCTCTCTCTCTCTCTCCTTCCCTCTCTCTCACACACATTTTTGCTGTAACTCCATATTACAAACTAGTACTATTACTAGTCATACTCTTTAATGGGCACATTATTTGTGAGTGTAATTAGTTCAAATATGTCATTGTAGGTACAACGTATAATGATATGTCCTTTATTCACATTCCTATGGTTGGAGGTAGGACCAGCAATGTAAACAGACTAAAAATATACGCTCCTCCTACCCACCTTTTTGTCTGTCCTCCTCAAAATTATCAATCCTCAGCAATCTTTGACATTTTAGCATGCAAACTTATTGTAAACTTGTGTCACGCAACAAATACAAAGAACAAATAGCGTATATGTGTTTGTTATTACGTTTGAGCGGGTTACATATGGGCAGTACCAGCTGGACACAATGTCTTATTATGTTTAGCACGGATGTCATTATGTCTAGTAACTATGCCAACGCCATTAAGGAAACTGTTGAAGAGCATAATTACTGTACTTAGCTGCGTGTGAATCCTCTTATATTCTTTCTCTCATGTCTTGTCTATTAGGGTCGGACGATGGGATATTCTATACTCACCTTGGTGCCGGGTCTACGCCAGAGACATTGAGAGAGACATTGGAAAAGAGGTGACATAATTATAATGATGAATAATAATATTATGAGTATTTTTATTTTACTTATTATACACAGGTTTAATGTAACTGGTATCGAACTCCGGATGCTCGAGGTGAGGAGAGAGAGAGAATAGAGAGTTTTGAAAAGACGCAAATAGATACATGTACATGTACACGAGAGATCGTCCTTAGCCTGCATACATCAACGAGGCAGGGATTGTATATAAACTGTGGTTTAAGGATTTAAGTAGCTGTTATGTATCGAACTGGCTTCAAAGAGGAGGAACAAATGAAGGGAGGGGAGAAGAGAGGGAGATAGTGGTATAGATCAGCTGTTCAAGTACATATTGTACATGTACATGTACATGTACGTGACAGAGGTTAGAGTATAGAGGGAAAGAGGGGAATGATACTCATTAAGAGTATAAGGGTTAATGTCTCCACCACATTATGAGTTAGTCCTTTGAAGTGGTTTGTATGTGTGGATTGACTGTCGGTAATGGTGTGACTGCAGAGACCATGATATCATAGTTACTTGCTATTCTGAGAAAAAGGCTAAGAGGAAGAGAGTCTATTTATCATGCAATGTTGACTTGTAATAGCCAAAAAACACTTGGGAGTAGTTAGAGGTGCCATTAAAAATATCATGCATGTACACGTACATATATAGTGTACATATGTGTATTACTTAAGAATGTATATGTACTCTAACCTTCTTCTGTTCCTTTGCTCATGGCAAAATCTCACAGCCTCTTTGTTTTCCATTTGTCTATTAAGTGCATGGATTTATAGTATTTATAAAGGAGTGGCCATGCATATTTATTACTAGTCTCTTGTATAGCACTGGAGGCAGTGACTTTCATGTAGTATAAACTTTGTGGTCATTAGAAGAATTTACTTGTGTAATCTTACCCTCTTCTTTCCCTGACCCTCCCTCTCCCTTTTTTGTCTTCCCTCTCCCTCTCTCTCTCTCTCTCATCCTCTCTCTCTCTCTCTCTCATCCCTCCCCCCCCCTCTCTCTCTCTCGTCTATTAGATCACATATACTGGCATTGAAGCAAAGACATCAGAAGGTTGTCCAACTGCTGAATGGGTAAGAAAAAGGAGAGGGGGAGAGAGAGAGAAAGGAATGAAAGAAGCTGTATCAATTTACAATATGTGTGTGTATGCACTGTTAGATATAGTAAAGATACATTATCATTACTTACTAAATATAGTCACAGATACTATATATAGCTTATCCAATACATCATAGTATATGCACACAAGCCCACAACACTCTTAATTGCAATTAAAGGTTTCAACCACAATCTACCATACAAATTTAGCCACCACTATATGTACATGTACACAATTACTCATTATACTATTCACTAGGGTAGGGTGTTACGTGGTATTGTGCATGTACATGCACATGTAGCATTTAGTGTGTAAAAACTACATGTATATACACTTAACGACACACGCACTTGTAATAACCATCGGTTGACAGAGTTATGAAATCTTGTGAGCGACTAATGTAAGCAGTCGATAACGTGGGACCTCAAATATTTTAACAGTCTCTCTCTCTCTCATATTATAATCTTACCTTATCTTCTACTAACTGACATTGTGTAGGTTGTTAGAAGGAAATCAAAAGAGGAGAAGTTCCTGGTACTGTACAGGCACCATATTGGACACAGTTGTGATGAGCAGTATACCGTGGTTAGTATCGTCTATTGGGACGCACTCACTCCTGAGAGAGCTGGGTACACGTACAACAAACTGGTTGAGATACTGCCTCAGAATGGGTTCCCCACACCTAGGAAATGTGAATTTAATGACAGGTACAGTTATTAATAGTTATGAATGGTTATTAATAGTTATGAATGGATATTAATGATTATTGATGGTTATTAATGATAGTTGGCATGACACTTTAATATGCTGTACCAAATTATAGTTTCCAAAGAAAGACATTTTTGAGAATTTTGATGGGCCAAGAGAGAGAGAGAGAGGAGGGAGGGAGAAGAAAGGAGGGGGAGAGGTGGAGAGAGAGTGGGATGGACAGACAGCTATGTAGACAGTTACATAATGTGAACAGGATACTGATTCAGTGTGTATGTGTGTGTGTGTTTGTAATGTTTGAGTACATAGCAAATGTCATTAGATAAAAAGAAAGAGAGAGAGGAAGTTAAGTCACAAAGGTATCATTCATAATGGTCACAAAGATATCATAGAGTTATCATTTGCTGTATGTGGTATATGAAAGACTCCCTTTAATCTCTAATGCTATCAATATTCATGCATGTACAAAAGAAGAGGAGAGAGAGAGAGAGAGAGAGAGAGAGAGAGAGAGAGAGAGAGAGTGAGTGTAGTATACATGTACATATAAATTTCTAGTACATAAATGTACATGTACATATGTCAGTAACACAAGCAACTAAACATACTTCCATTGATGTATCTTTTCTCCTTCTCTTCACTACCACTGTAGTAAAACTTGCTCCTGTCAAGGGGATGATAAAACTGTTCATGGAGCCTCTTACTCCTTTGGATGCTCATGGAGTGTGTACTATGATGGCTGTAAGTTTGGGAAAAGCAAGATCCCACGTAAATTCAAACTACAAGTACCAGAGAAGGTATGGCATTAAAATGTGACACATACATGTATGTAAAACTTCTCTCTCTCTCTCTCCCTCCCTCCCTCTCTCTCTCTCTCCCCCCCCCTCTCTCTCTCTTTCCCCCTCTCTCTCTCTCCCTCTCTCTCTCTCTCTCCCTCCCTCTCTCTCTCTCTCCCTCTTCTTACCAGGAGCCTGAGCTAGAAGGTAATGTTGATGAGCTAGCTACATACCTTGCTCCATTGTATAAGAGACTGGCACCCAAAGCTTACTCAAATCAAGTGAGAAAAAACAACAAAAACATTAGATACATATACACAACTAAACCATATCCCTCTCCTTTTTCCCTGTAGGTAGCTACACAGGCTTCAGGAGAAGAGTGCAGGATTGGCCTAGGACCAGAAAAACCATTTTCAGGAATGACTTGCTGTATGGACTACTGTGCCCACAGTCATTATGATAAACACAACATGCCTGATGGAGGAGCAACCGTGGTATGTGATCCCCCTCTCTCTTTCCCTCTTTAATTATAACTCATGTACATGTACAATTGGCATACTACTACTACAGTACAATCAGTACAATCTCGTGTGTATATTATTGTGTGTGATTATGTAACTAAAACTATCCTTCCTCTCTACCTTCCTCTCTAGGTTGTGACTATACTAAAAGAAGGTGTGTATCCTGATCAATATGTTAAAGAGGACACCGGAGAGCAGATCCATTGTCTTCCCCTCTATAGACTCAAGGATCCTCCTCCTCAGTCAGTCCCGGGAGTTGAAGTGAGGCCAGTACAAGTTGAACTACCACCGCCAGTCACTGTACAACCGGTCCTAGCTCCACCGCCCACTCAAAACCATTTCAAACTGGAATCACCTCTGAATACCATGATACCGCCATCAGATGTAAAGAGGGAGAGAGGGGAGGAGGGGCCAAGGAATAACAATAATCCGTTCTCCATTAACTCTATACTTGGTGGTGATACGCCCACTCAGCTGTTGATTAAAAGAGAGATGAATCAAGAGGAAGAGCTCAAAACAGAATCATTCTCCTCTTCCATAACATTCCGTAGCTCTACCCCCACTCCAGTTGACACCCCTACCAAAAACGATGGTCGTTATAGCAACGGTTTTCATGGAAACGGTCCGATTGGGCTCACTTTCGGAGACTACAAAAACGGAGCTTTGCCACGTCCTTTAGACACGCCCCCTCGTCCCCTGGCGCTAATAGCAACAGACAGTTCCACCGACTCTGATAGCGACTGCTACATAGTGAGTGACTCTCCCGATACACGCCCACCATCCTGCGAGCAGCCGATGGAGGAGGGGGCACATGGAGCCTCGTCAGCTGTTCCTCCTCATCCTCAAAGAAACGGTTTCATCAATCACTTCACTCATCCTCTTAACAAGCTGAACGGACCAGTGACCACACCTCCTAAATTAGGAGCCACACCCCCAGCGTTTGGTAGTGGACCTATTTTATATCCAACCGGAATGAATGATTCCTTCTCTCATCCCTTTGACTCGATATTAACATCAGATATCCCAACGACTAATAATAATAACAATATCGATGCAAACCCCGCCTCCTCTACTCTGCCAGTGGGTGGGGCTGCACTGCCCACTCAACCAGCCACTAACGAGCTAAACGGACCCAATAAGTTCCAGCTACAGGCTCCGCCCGTCCCAGTCAAGAGGAACGAGAGGGTCTATGCTGTATCAGGTGGTATTGCTCTGGCATTGAGTCACGGCTCAATCCTGATAGAGTGTGCTAAGAAGGAGCTTCATGCCACAACAGCAATCAAGAGACCAAACAGACATCTCCCGACAAGACTGAGCATGGTCTTCTATCAGCACAAGAAACTGAGGAGTCGCTATCACGGATACTTTGAGGAGGTTGAGAAACAGAAGAAACGCCAGGAGGAACAGCTCCAGCGTAAGCTCCTCAACGAAGCCATAGCCGGAACACAGAATGGATACCGGACTCCACTGAGCAACAGTATAGGACACATAGTACAGTCTCCTTGTTCTAAAATACCACCGACTTTCAGAGCAGGGATGAGACAGAACTCGGTCAATCTCTCCCGCCTCATGGGAGACTCAGAGGAAGAAGAAGAGGATCCCGATGACTACTTCTACTCTTTGATATCCTGCAGTGAGAGCGAGAGTGAAGACGAAGTTGAAGACGACATCACTCCTGCCTTCCCTACCTTCTCAACCACTCCCACCAACGGTCAACACGTTGCCCATTCTCCCTCCTCTTCCTCCTCCTCCTCCTCCTCTTCTTCCAATCAAGTCATTTCTTTCAAGGTCCCCAAACCCGAGAAGCTCAGCGAAATGGAGTGCCCGTTTTACATAGAGTATCCCATATACGTACTCCCGGCATTCGAGCGTGTGTATCGCGAGTACATTCCGTGTCCTATACAAAGGATAAGTGAGGGCTCCACTAACACTCTCTCTTACAGCCGGTGCAGATCGATCGACATGATGTCTGGGAACTACTCGAATTTGAACGTGAGGGAGAAAAGCTTGAAAGAAAAGAAAGAGGATGAAGAGAGTTCGGGGAAGGAAGTAGCTCTTCCTAATGCGTTCCCTTCTTAACGGGTTCCCTTGGTAGGGAGAGATAAATTCATGTGACTTCTCTCTCTCTTTCTCTCTCACCCTCTTTCTCTCTGCTTTTCTCTGTAAAATATTGAAACTTAGACTTTTTATTAAAATATGAAACAATGTAGAAAGATAATTTATTATTATTATTATTATTATTATTATTATTATTATTATTATTAGATATTAGTGAATAATATATTGTTATTAATTAATTATTATTGTTATTGTTGCATGGTCAAAAAAAACATATTTTTTATTAATAATTTATTTCTTTATTAATTATTTCTCTCATTCCAAAAAGCGAAATTTTTAATTAAACTTGTTTAGAAAACAACAACAAAAACTGTAATGGATGGATGCACAATATATATGCTACAAGACTGTATGTAAATATCAATAACAAATAACTGAGTGATAAAAAGAAACAGTGTCTCTTAGTTTTAAATGCACTTTATAATGTAGTGATACTAACCATCTCACAATCCTCAGTCCTCACTCTTCTCCAATTTCTCTTTCATCATTGCTATCAGTCTCTCTGACAGGTTCTCCAAAAATGGTTCAAGTGATTCAGCTCCTGGAAGAGCTGCTGGCTTAGGTTGGCTTGTCGGTGGATTCGTGGTCGTAGTTAGAGAGTCTAGCGTCGCTGATTGTCTTATGTCTGAGAGTCGAGAGGATAGCGTTTGTAAGGAGGTACTGATGAGTGACTGAAGTTTAGTTGAATTATCAGTTGATAGGGAGAGTGACTATTATTAAAAAGAAAAAATGCGGGGTTGTGATAACTGGAGGATTCAATATATCTAGCAAGGAGTTTCTAACAGGGTATTTTGTGGAAATGGCTCCAAGAAAATAATCCCACATTTCTATAATTTTTCTGATAAATATACATGTACATGCTTTATAAAACTTTTAGTTGATTCTGAAATTCAATTTTTTATGGATTTTAAAAGTTTCTCAAAAATTGGGCTAAAGTCCTTGTACTACAATACGTGTACACGGTCTCGGGCCAAAAATCATCAAAATTGAAAAGGAGAGATTTCTACATTTTACAAAGTGTGAACTAATTCCAGTAAAAATAATGTTCCTCTTCTCACCTGCTGATACAAACCGCCTAATGCTGTAAGTGATTCCTGACATTGCCCAGTGATAGAGTTTACTCTGTTACAAAGTTCATCAAATGAGACTTTATCATCGTCTTCCACAAGAGACTGTGCATCAGTCTCTTTCACAACTGACTCTCTTGCACCATGTTCCTCCTCCTCCTCTCTCTCCTTTTTATTGTCATCCTGACCAGTCTGATCTACATGTACATCTTCTACTGATTTCACTTCTCCTTCTATAGCTTCCTTAGCTTTACTTGACTCAGCAAACTCAGAGTAGCCAAGCTATAAGAGAAAGGGGAGGGGGGGAGAGAGGTTGAAAGAGGAAGGAGGGAGGGAGAGAGTTCAAAAGTGCATAATAACAACCCAATGATTAAGTAATGAACCACAGTCAGTCTTATCAGCTATGACCAGCAATTACCAAATGATAAAGGTTGGTGATAGCTGTCATGACAACACCAGGAACTCTTACTGCATGTACATGTAAACTCCCTCTCTCTCTTCTTCTCTCTCCTCTTACTTCTTCCAATCTTTTTCTTGTCTTTGTTATCTCTTCTCTAGTTATTTTTGGTCTCTTCACTACCCTTCCTCTTGGTCGAAACCTAACAATATTCCCAGTCTCCCCTGTCTCATGTGACTTCGAGCTATCATCATCACCATCGCTAACATCTCTCCCTTGCTCCTCCTCCCCCTCCTCCTCCTTTCTCTCCTCCTCTACTGTCAGTGTCTTTGGTTCGCTAGTTTCTTCCGAAGAGATGTCTATTACTGATTCTGTCTCTGTAGAGCGAGGTGAAGTGGGTAGGGTTCGGTAACGATTATCAGTTAGTTCGGGTGACGCATAATTAGTAGAAGTTGAGCTGGTAACAGGACGAATTTTAATGCACCTACATGTACATGTAGATATGCATGTAATGATAAAATGATAATAATAATAACAATAATAATAATAAACTATTAAGTAATAAGTTAATAGCCCACTCTTACCCAGTAGTGAAGCTCCTCCTCCTATTATAATAGATGGCTGATATGCTCGGTCGGCTGCAAGGAGGGGAAAACCCTCTCGTAGGACCCACTCCAGGTGAGTCTGTCTCAGGGGCGGGGCCAAAAATCAGGTCAGCCTTCTCGGCCGTCAAACTCTCAAAGTGAGTTCTTAAAAATGCTGACTCATCAACGATAAGAGTCCCGAGAGACTTTATGTTTGTCTCGGGCGTTGAGCAAGTACTATCAGGACTCTCCTCCTCCTCCTCCTCCTCCCCTACCTTTTTCTCAGTCGGTGATACCTATTAAAAGATGAAGAGGCGTGGTCACTTTAACACACACACCACCCACCAACTCTGCCACGTTTTTCACGGAAGCTCTTCTCTCGGGAGTCGTCACTTTGAACATACTAAGATATGAATAGTTATATTAATAGTTATTAGTAATTATATTAATAGTTATTGATAGTTATTAGTAATTATATTAATAATTATTAATAATTATATTAATAGTTATTACTGGTTATATTAATAGTTATTAATGGTTACCTGGGGTCTACGCTGTCTCTCCCAGTGGATTTAGGATACACCAGTTCCTCATTGCTCATAAGACTGTCAGTTACACTAGGCTGAGTCTGACTGTCAGTGGTATCCTCCTCCTCCTCCTCCTCTAGCAGTTTCTCCATTACTTGTTTCATTAGAGTCTCTTCTTCCTTTTCCTCCTCAAGTGATGAGTTAGTCTCACCATCTTCATCTTTCTCTACCTACAACAAGCCATTGTATGGTGCTAAGTTTTGAGTCTTATAAAATTTTGCAGATTTTGCAATTCTTAAAAATTCATGAAAAATAAATCAAATTAAAAAAGTCTAAAAAAAATTTGGGGGGGGGGCAAATTTGCTTAATTTACAGCCCTCAAAAATTTTATAAAATTGCATAAAATAATATCCCACAGTAGTTTAGTTTACCTTGATATTCTCAGTATTTTCTGGAGAGTCTCTTGTTTCTACCATCTCTATCTCAGCCTCTGAGCTCTCTGTGTGCATAAGTAGGTCATGTGATAATAGTGTGATAATAGTGTGATAATAGTGTGATAATCATGTGATGTCATACCTCCTTCAGATGATGCGTCTTTGTCCTCAATCATAATGAACTGCTCAGCAGTAACCCTCTAATAAATAATAATAATAATAATAACAACAACAACAACAATAATAATAAGTGTCTAATAATAATAAATTAATAATAATAATAATAACATACCTCAGCCCAGCGACCAGCTACAGCTGTTCCATCAGGAGGTGGTGGTACAGTAACTCCTTCTCCTCCTTTCTTTGTCTCTACTCCAACAGTAGCTGCTATACTTGGTCTGGAGTACACTGTCCTCTGAGCCCAGGAAGGTAACTTACTGACACTGAACCTAAACCCCTCCTCATCTTCACCCTCTTCATCTGGAGAGGGAGGGAGGGGAAGGAATGACAGGAAAATGGACACGGTTTCTATACCTGGTACATCAGTTTCATCCAGTGAATGAGCTCCGTCTTTATCTGCTTTTGGTATAACGTACGTCTCTCTCCTGCCACCAATATAATAATACCCAGTATAATAATTATATCAAAAATTCATATGATAATGTGTTACCTGTCGACAGGCATAGGTGTGGCTAGGGTAGGCGTGGTCAAAGTAGGCGTGGTTGGTGTTGGAATGGTTTGAGGTGTGTAATATTCAAGATAGGCCGTTTGCTTATTTTCTTTGAGACGTCTTCTGATGTTCTAATATAAATCAATGTTATGAATTATCGTATTTTAAAAAATTATAATTACCTCTTTCATATCAAGGGATAAACGCCAAACAAAGACACAGCTAAACAATAAAATTAATAAATAAATAAATTCTTCTTCTAACCCGCCTCACCTGTCACCAGAGGTAGTCAGCAGATATGAGCTGTCATTACTAAACATCAAACCAGTAACCACCTCTGAGGGAAGAGAGAGAGAGGAAGAGAGAGGAAGCAAGAAAAGATATAAAATAATGTAATAGCTGTATAATATATATTTCCTTTCCCTACCCGAGTGTCCCTGTATTTTACAGAGGAGTTCTCCAGTAATAAAATGAAGGACATAAACACATTTATCTGATCCACTGACTGCAACATAGCTTCCAGAACAATCCAAAGACAACTGAAAATAAATAAAATAATTATCATTAAAAATTAGCCTACAATCATCATTAAAACTAGTGAATAATACTATTATTAACTATTAATTACTAACCTTCAATAAACCGGTCGTTCCCTCGTCCTCACAAACTTTACAGGAATTCTTAAGCTTCCCGGTAGTGATCCCATAAACCCTACAAGCCCCGCCCACATAATTAATAATAACAATATTCGCAAGGTTACCGTAGAAACTTGTCCTGACTAGCAGTAGCGATGAGGGAGGAGGTGGGGTCAACTATCATGTCATACATTGAGGACTTCTCCGCAATGTGGTGGGCGCGCTTAAAGGAGCCATTTTTATCCAACGTGTAGAAGAAGAGAGATTTGTCCGCTCCACAACTGTAGAGATACAATGTGTCCTGAGATACTGAGAGAGAGAGAGAGAGAGAGAGAGAGAGAGAGAAAACGTAAGAAGAATAATGTAATGGAATTATAAAGTAATTTAGACTTATTTATTTTAAAAATATATGCACTAGGGTTTCCCACAAAGCAGGCTAAGTGAGTTAAAAGCACATTTCATGAGCTGACAAGCACTACAATAATATACATGTGCATGGCTTTTGGAGCAACTTAAAAAATCAGCATTAACGATCAGAATCAGCTCAAACTTAATCGCTACATCGTCAAATTTTTAAGCAACTTTAAATCCACTGGAAATCTTGATAGTACACCGTACATGCAAATATTATATATTAATGCTTTTCTTACTAGAAAAGTTGACAGCAGTGATTGAAGCTGAGTGATGATCAATGGTATGGACGTGGTTGTAATTATCAGACACATCAAATATATGTATGAGTCTGTCCCTACTCCCAGTGGCCAGTAGCATCCGATCTGAGAGGGATAAAGGGACAGCATTGGGTCAAGTAAATCAGCTGTATGCAATATAATTAAATAACATGAAAGATAGGGGCAGTCTGTATCTTAATCAGTATACTAAATTGTACAACACAATGTATCATGGTTTACGTATTACATGTACATGTACATCTTTCAAAAGTTTTTCAGATGATCATAACTTAAGAACTGAAGTCCTATCTGTAACTACATGCAGACTTGGGTCAAATACAACGTGGAAGTATTTAAATACAAATACAAATACTGTACAAAAACAAAAATACAAATACAAATACAAATACTGTTTTCAGCTTTGTATTTAAATACAATTACAAATACTGCATACATGTATTTCAATTACAATTACAAATACTTTCTTCTCAAGTATAGACAGTTATTAACTACGTAGTTTTATGAATTAATCAATCAAGTAAATTGAAAGCCTCTTTTCATTATGCATGCATGTATAATCAATAATATTTAGTTATAGTCATGTATTGCATTTAATGAACGTTAGTGTTTCAAAGTTTTGTCACTCAAACAGCATCTTCATTCACATTGAAGTATTTTAAAGTATTTTGCTGTATTTTGAAATACTTCCCTGCTGTATTTCAATTGCAAATACAAATACTTCCTGTTGCAAAAACTCAAATTACAAATACAAATACAAATACTTTCAAAAGTATTTAAATACGACTAATTACAAATACTATTTGTATTTGACCCAAGTCTGACTACATGTATCCTTATACAGAAAATGTAGGCCAATATCAGAGCCATTATTATTCAGAAAAACCAATGGTCGAGTAAAAGAGAGAGAGAGGGTCTTACAGGAAGGGTGAACAGGCGAATACTGCACTGACAATATTTCAGAATCATGAGCAACAACCTCAACTATCTTATCCATAAACTGCAAATCATACACCCTACAGGAAAGAAATACTGAAAATATACAAGAGATTACTGGATCATCATACAAAGAGATTACTGAGTTTTACTGAATTACACAAACCTAAGGTTTCCCTGTCTATCCCCTACCGCCAGATGACGTCCTTCGGGAGAGAATTGAATAGAACGAACGCCACGAGAAGCATCAGCAACTGCAGTGGAATCGCCTGCAAAGAATGACAGAGAATAGAGTTAAGGGCAGGTACATTATATGCTATATAGCTTCATTATTATGTACTCATTACTTAGTTACCTACCTGGTAATAGGCTGGTGTCCCTAAGACAGGTAGTGTCGGTATCATCAGTGTATATTATATGGAATATCTCCTAAGGCATTAGGACAGCAAAATTAAGTAATATTACATGTACAGTGTACATGCATACACGTACCTTAGAATAGACATTCTTTAGTTGTGTTTCAGAGCCATTTGATTCTAAGGATGATTAATAATAGCTGAGTGGGTGGGGTCAGTTGCTATAGTTACCTGTTAGGTTCCAAAACCGAACAGTGTTATCAGAGGAGGAAGTGATGAATGATAAAGAAGGAATGACACCATTAGCCAATGGAGGATAAGCCTGTACAGTAGGAGAGAGAGGGAGGAGGGCATGTATAAAGAGTCTCTCTCTCTCCCTCTCAACATTACCTGTACATCCCACACACAGGCATTGTGGTACAGGAATGAATGAGTCTTTCCAATTGCCTTGAGATTCTTCAAATCCCAAATATAGAGACTGTGATCATTGTACACGGCAACCAGCTAAAGAGAAAGGAAAAGAATAAAATTGACATGAGAGAGTTGCTTATATTGTTTACTTTATTATTATTATTATCATATCCTAGAGCAACAGTATCCGGACACTTCCCTGGCTCTGTAATAAACTGCTGCCTATACTCCAACAATATACATTATATACTACGACTAATTGATTTATAATATTACTTACGAAGCTACAGTTGACTGAAGTCCAAACGAGAGCTGTACCGTAAGAGGATGTGGGCGTGGCATAGTAACAATGTAATCAAGAGTGGCAGGGTCAAACAGTCTCACAACTCCGTCGCCACACCCACACATAATGAAAGACTCGCTGTACTCCAGACAGTAGGCACGGCCCGACTTTATATCGGTTAGTTTGTCCAGCTCTCTTGAAGAGTTGAACTGACAGAGGAGGCCTGATTTTGTCAGGGAATACGTGAGGCCGGAGTGTCGGCCGTGCCCACATCTGACGGAGATGAAAGTGTTGTTCTGATGATCACCGAGTATTGCTGAGCGGCCATTAAGAGGATGAGTGAGAGTAGACTGAGAGACAGAGAGGAGGAGAGAAAGAGGGGGAGAATGGTAAGATAAGAGGTACATTGTAGGAGGAGAAATTAAAGCTTGTATTATTATTATTAATATCATTTTTTATTTTTCTTACTTTATATCTCTGATTTGTGTCAAAGTACCAGAATCTAACACGCCTTGAACCACAAGTTACAAAACAGCTCCCATCTTGAGAGAAGGCCAATCCAAACACTTGCTACAAGAGGAAGGGGAGGGGACAATAAAACTCCACCCCCACAAATATAGTGACCTTAGAAGTGATCTTGTTTGAAGCTAATTTGACCCCGCCTCTCCAATTCCATATATGGATATTCTGATCGTGTTGGTAACCGATTGAAATGAGGTACCGCCCGTTTGGAGAGAATCCCTATACAGTATAAACGTGTCAATTAATGTCACAGGATATTTCAGACCTACCAAACAAGCAACTCCAAAGGCGTGCCCTTTAAGACTGACCAGGTGGGTGGGAGGAGATGAGACCACATCCCATACCTGCACAGCAGGATTGTGACCACACTACAGTACATATCATAATAATTTTATTTTTCAGTTGTACATGTATTTCTTCTTACTTCTCCAAAGGCAACAAATTTACCGTCACTCGACAAAGAGAGACAAGAAATCGGCTTCCTAATTAATTAATATTTAAATAAATATTTAAATTGATTAATGGCTGATTAATTTAGTGATAATTGCCGTCTACGTGTTATAAATGTGTATGCATCATTACTTCTGGTGATTAATTAATTTGGACATTTGCCAACTTTGTGTGTGTCTATGATTACGTGTTTGCTGTCTTAATATTTAGATAGGAAGAATATCATCTATTATTATAGTCCCCACTAGAAGTGTGCGTGTGTGTGACTAGTCTGGGCCCGCCTCTGTGTGTGACATACTTTGATGGATTAATGATGTGACCGTACTTGCTTCTCTTTGGATAATAAAGTACTACAGTACACCTGAGAGAAGAGAGAGAGAGGGGGAGAGAGGGTCGATAAAGAAGATAAAAAACTTCTCTCTTTTTTCTTTCTCTTACCCAGCAGGATATACAAGACAGGATCCTGCTGAAGACACTGATAATGAGTTGCCATTGCTGCAAGTTAGGCCCAGGACTCTATCAAGAACGACCTACAAGAGTTGAGAGAGTACATGGGGGGACATATGGCAATTATTCTTTATACTTTCTCTTCCTCTTTCTTCTGCTTTCTTTTTTTGGCTAGGACTGGTCTCTTGGACATTGCTAAACGGGAGGAGAGGATAGGGAAAGAATGGAGAAAGAGAGGAAAAGTGCAGAGTGTCTGAACTCTGAAATTCTAACCTTTGAATGGGCGCGGTTTCCCGCCCTTTACTGCGAAAAGGCGGGTATAGTTATTAAAATAGGCGTGGATAGTTAGTACTGATGACGTCATTTTAATTAATTAAAAGAGGTGGAGTTGTGTTAATAAATTCCAGGGGGTCCGGGGGTTAGTTATTAAAATTTTGGTAATTTTCCGTAATCTTATTGTGAAAATTTTCTGCCTAACAAGGGAATGAAGAAAGTCAACTTCCGTATACTCTCCCATTGGTTTCTATGGTGTAGGAGTGGTTTATTAATGTCACCTTGCGGTTAATTAAGTTCCTTTTATTGGAGGACTCCCCCACTCCTCTCTCTCACTCTCCGACTTGTGGACCTTCTCTTCTTTCTTCTCTGTCTGTACCATCTCTCTCTCTCTCTCTTAATCTCCTTTAGCCCCAATATTAAATTCTTCCTGAACTTTCAAGACTGTTTACAGAGCAAGGTAATATTGCATGATAATAATTATGGACCAGAAAGTACATTAAATTTAGTAGAAGAGCTAAGATAATGTCATCAGCTGACGAGGCTGCCTCGACAGCCTCTGCTTCTAACGGGAGCGTTCCTTCCCTTTCCCTAACCGGTGAGAATGGCCTGGAAGAGCCTAAGCTGACCATACAGTTCCAGTGTGGTCTCCTCAGGGAAGAGGAAACTTTCATGGGCTATGATCTGCAGATAATGGGTCTGGATACCCTCCAGGAATACGTATGTGACATGCTAACTTTCAAGGTATGTGGAGATTCAAATTACACACGAGAAAGAGAGAGAGAGAGAAAGTTTTGTATAGATTTATCTGTATACTATATAACCTCAGGCTTCAGAAAGGTATTGCTATGTCTTAGCTCTCTCCTTTTTTCTTTCTATCTCTCTTCTCTTGCATTCCTCTTACATAATCATGAATGTGTCTTTGCATGGACTGCACATTATTTTCTATAAATAATTGCCTTTTTAATTTAATTTTTTTTTTCCATATTTTGTTTTTATTTATTGTCATCCGTGAAATTACAAACTAGTATGATTATTGGAATTTTTCATAAAAGTAATACTTGTGTACATGTACATGTATGTGTGTGTGGCCAAGAGGCGATTATACATGTACAATGTACATGCTTTTTTGCAATTAGTAACACTAATTGTTTTGCCCTCTCTCTCTCTCACTCCCTTCTGTTTTGCATCTGTTTGGTGGAACAGTTGTTGCTTCCTCCTTAAGAAACATCTGCCATTCGATTCTCTTGTTATTCTTTCCTCTCTTGACGCATTAGCCCATGTATATTGTATATCCTTTATTAATGATAAACCCTCTTATTACTTTTCCCATTAGTTACAAAGTTTGTTGTATGTGCGCTTTATTTGTATACATTAGTCCATTCACTCCCTTTTATTAGTGATATTGTCATAAATTGTTTAATTTAATAACACTGATACTATATTATGTATATGTATATGCCACTTCTCAAAACATCTTCCTTCTCTCTATTAGTATCCAGATCATCCTTATGGGGATCTCTACGAAAAGGTCACACTCTACAAGCATGACAAAGACACGGACTCTCTCCAAGTTCTGACAGAGCGAGACAATATCACCGACGGGCTTTTAATAGAAATAGTATTAGTAGGTAAGCGATCACGCTGAGTGTTGAGTGCATTTATGTTTTATGATTGTGTGTTTTTTAGCTAAAGCAAAACAGATATATAATGAGTCAATATGTCCTCATATACTATCAGTACATACGTATAAGGCACCAACTTTCTGTGATCACTGCGGAGTGGTAATGTTTGGTATATTGAAACAAGGACTCAAGTGTGAGGGTAAGTTCTACTTCTCTCTCTCCCCCTCCCTCTCTCTCTCTCTCTCTCTCTCTGTATTTGTTACCTTTATTTCTCTCTTGCATCTTTTTTGATTGTTTGTTTCTCTTGTTTCCCTCACTGGCCTATTTTGTATCTTCTTCCTCCTCTTGTTCACCCACTCTCTCTTCAAAGGCTGCACACTTGCACAAACAAATGAGAGAGAGAGAGAGCTAGACTGTCAGTAGTACTGTATGTACAGTATATTGTTTGTTGTGCTAGCTGTTGTGTGTGACTGGATATGTAGTGAAATCCTTTTCTGCACTAACCCTCAGACCGTAAATGGAATGGTTTAACATTCTTTTGATCTTGTTGTAGTACACATGAACACATACTCACTAACCTATGGCAGGCATACTACTATGTATCATGTATGTTTCTTCTTTCTTTCTCTCTCTCTCTCTCCCTTTATTCAATGACTTTCATTCATTCCTTCTCTCTCTCTCTCTCTCTTTTCTTTCCAGACCATCTTATCCTGTTATGATTCTGCTCAAGTGTTTGTGTCTGAAAGAGAGAGAGAGAGTTTGGACTAATAAGTACATGTACATGCGTATAATGTGTGAATGTGTGACATGTGTACAGCTGCATTTGTTTTAAATTATGTCTAGCTGAGCTGGGTGGAGGAGGAGGGATCTATCTACAGTACATGTAGTGTAGAATTGAGATTGTGTGTGTGTGTTTACTGCTAATACTGAAAGTACATAAGCTGTATCTCATCATATTGGCATTTGCATGTATCGTTATACATAAATTATTATTATTATTACTGGATGATATCATTGTAATTGTTCTAAGTTAACAGGAAACAGTTACATACTAATAGATGCAATGTGTGTTTCTTTCTTCCCTTTCTGTCTGCCTGTCTGTCTCTCTTCCTCTCTCTACCTCTCTCTCCCTCTCTCTCTCCCTCTCTCTCTCCCTCCCTCCCCCCTCTCTCTCCCTCCCTCTCTCTTTTTTAGGATGTGATAAGAATTTCCACAAAGGTTGTGCCTTTAAGCTACCCAATGACTGCACCAGGCATTGGGGTGACAACCCTCCCTCCTCGTCCACCTCCAGTCTACAAAGAATCCCCAAAGGCTCCTCGTCCCTCCCTCGCTCGAGCTCTTCCAATCGCTTGAGAGAAAGAAAAGAAACATGGAGCGGTAGACCGCTATGGATTGACAAAGCACTTCACAATAGACCCCAGGTCCCTCACACTTTCTTTATCCAGTCATTCAAGAAGCCTACAGCTTGTCACCACTGCAAGAAACTGGTAAGTATAACCTTACTTTACTCCATCTACATCCAAAGTAGACTATTCTGTACACTGCATACACTTATAAACTACATTGTTAACTCTATTCCATCTACATCTAAGTAGCCTATTGTACATGTACATGTACATACATGTACATGTACACTTATGAGCTACATTCTACACTGTATATACCACCTTTTATAGTGTTGTTTTGTTATTGTAATAGTTGAGTGTTAATAGGGACAGAGCTGTATGCCACTGTTTCATAACCGCTTGTGTGTCAATGCAGTTTAGACTATCTCATGGAATAATTAATTTCTGATTAATGTCTAAAGTTAACACTGGGATGTACTTACTGTATCTCTTTTTTCTCACCATTCTTACCTCTCTCCTTCTCTCTCTCCTCCCCCCCCCTCTCTCTCTCTCCCTCTCTCTCTCCCTCCCTCTCTCTCTCCCTCCTCTCCCTCTCTCTCTATTTTAGATTAAAGGTGTATTCCGTAATGGTATGAAGTGTAAAGATTGTCAGTTTAGTTGTCACAAGAAATGTGTCAAAGACGTCGGAAGCAACTGTCCTGGGGAAGTCCCCTCTCTTAGTCGAGTTGACAACGGAGAATGGGGTGAGCTAAATATATTATTAATAATAATATAATAATAATAATGACTATATTATTATTATTATTATTATTATTATTATTATTATCACTATATAGAGCTGTCAGCTATTACAAGCATCTCTGTGTTTACTTGATCTTATTAGTGAAATATTTTTACAAATTATCTCAGTCATAACATAATCAGACCCATTCACATACATCTGTGTACCGTGTACATGTACACATGTCACATGCTTAACAGCCATTATGTACATGTTCATGTACGTGTATGCTAACGAGAGGAAGCTTCAAATCATATTATAATGATGAAGATGGTAATGATGCCGTGTCTATTTCATTATAGCTTTATTAATCAGTTGATAACAACAGAATATGAGCCATTCCTCTGATTTAATCACTTTCTCTCTCTCTTTAATCTCTTTTTTATCTCTCTCTCTCTCTCTCTCTCTCTCTCTCTCCTGTATCAGGTCACAGTCGTATCATGACTAACATTATATCGAATGAACACGTTTCTGATGATCATTCAACGAAAGAAGGAGAGACAGGAAGAGGTGAAGAAACAAGCCCTACCTCTTCTTTATCGAGTCAAGAGCATCTGGAGAGTGAATCAGTAAGAGGACTAGATGTACATGTACACTGTACATGTACATTTGTGTAGTGAAAGAGGAGGGAGAGAGAGAGAGTGCCTGCCATGTTTATTATTCTTCATGTCTTAAGTGGTTTGTATTTTTATTAAATATTTACATGATCATAATTGCCACACATAATGTGCCTTTTGAGTATAATGCTGGGGAGGGAGAGACAGAGGGAGAGAGGGAGGGAGAGTGTTTGTACTTGTATCAATAATAGTTACTAATTGTTGTACCCCATGTAATGCACATGTAGGAGGTTTTGTAATTAGGTATTTTAATTGTTAATTATTATGTTTGTCCATTGATGTACATGTACATGTATTTTATTACAGGCAGTTCCTATGGATCCAATAGCTGAAGAACCAAGCGGAGGAGAAGATGCTGTCAGTAATGATGACTCTGAGCATAATCCAGCAGAAAATGTACCATCAGCTAATATCACTTTACAGGTAATGGGGTGGT